CAGTGTCCCTCTAGCACCTGGCTGTGCTTTCCTCCATCATAAACCTTAGTTCTCTTCTCCCTGTCTCTCCAAGTTCCTTCAACTCCTGGTTGTCCCCTATAGTCACCCACCCTCTCCCTTGCTCCTGGTGTTCCCTCAGCTCCTGAACACCCCTTCCTTCAATAACCCCCCCAGCCCCGACCCTTTCCCTGTGTCCCTCTGATCTCTTCTCACCCGCCCGCCAAGACCCCCAGCCCCTGTTCTGCCCTTTAACCCTCCTTGTGACAAACCAGGACAAACAACAGGAAGGCTACCCTTCTGCCCCACACCTCCCCTTCCCTGGTGGCTCCCACCCCAACCCCACTTTTCTTTAAGTTTCCAAATCAACCTTCCTCCAATAATAATGATAAAGCAGGAAGCTGGGCCGGAGGACAGTGCTGATTTTTCTTCTTGACACGGAGTTTCCGATTAAAGGCAAAGGGACATAAATCCTCCCACGTAATTGCTGTGCTTGAGCTCAGAGCCACTTGGAAGGGAGGCTCCCACCCCCTCTGCCCCTGCCCTTGGGAGACCCACCCCCAGCCTGAGCAGGGCTTAGTCCCCAGAGCCTGGGCTGGGCTGGAAAGAGGGGAGGCACAGCTGTGGGAAGGGGGTGGCGGCAGCCTAAGCCAAGCTCCCTGCTGCTGCCTTGCAGGGGTCCCAGCCCCATGGACTGTGGCCCATGGCCCACCTCACAGCACCTTTCACCCAGCCCCAGGCAGCCCCTCAACCCCTCATGTTGAGCATGCTTTATATTCTGGCAAAGCCTCTCAGCATTCATTATCTCATTTGATTCTTGTAAGGATCTTGAAAATTATTAAACAAATATCAGATGGAGGGCGGGGCCCTGAACGGCCCCTGAATGAGGGGCCCTGAACAATTCCCCTTGTTTCACAGATAGGGAAACTGAGGCCTGCAAAAGGGACCAGCTAGTGGCAGAGCTGGGACTGGAATGCTATCCAAGCCCCTATCAGAACTCGCCATCTCGCATACCAGAGAGGGACTGACATTGCTTTATTAAATCATGGGCCCAAATAGCCTCCTCCCAAGTGGTTTTCTCACCCATCAGAGAAGCTTTTTGAAAAATCAAGAATGCTTGATGTTCTTATCCCCCAAGATTAGACAAAGAGGACACTAAAAGTGTGTGTGAATTGCTCACGGTCGAGGGTTGAGGGCAGGGCCTAGAGTGCCTAAGCCTCCTGACTCTACGTTTCATTCTCCCACACAATTTTCACACCCAGAGATTCCAAACTCTGGTGACTGCAGGTTTCACTCTCAGCCTGGTCAGGAACCACCTCACAGCCCTCACCCTCTGTAGAGTTACAGAGTCCACAGCCAGAACCCTCCCCGACGACTCCTCTCCTCCCTTCTTTTCCTATCCTGCTGCCCACGCTCCTCCTCCATGAAGCCTTCCTGATTTAAAATCCTTGATTGCACTTGCCTGTTCCTCCCTGCACTGAGCAACCCCCTCCAGCTATTCCTAAGTCAGCCCTGGGTGTGAGTCCCCTCTTTCATCAGATCAGGGGGGTGGGCCTCTGCGTCCTCCCTCTGAACTGCCATTTCCCAACCCTCCCCCAATCTTCACCTCCTGTACCCGATCCCCGATCTAGACCCAAAACATCTATATAGTAGATTCATGTACTATGTACAGTGCCTGGTTCCCATGATCCTGGGAACCCAGCAGTCCTGTCTGTCTTCATCAATGGAAATTTTGAAAGCCCCAGGACTCCCACATCAGGTGCAAACCATCACGGCTTCTGGGTTTCCCTGGCCCACTAAGGGCCATCTGGTCCTTTGTCCTCCCAGGCCCCTTTTCCAGAATCTCAGGTGACGGGTCCCTCGGCTGGGACTGAGTAAAAGAAAAGTCACAGCCTCATTCTGCTTACCCATCTCTGAATATAACTGGACCGGGCTAATTCAGGCAGGGACTCCCAAGGTCTAACCTGTAGGTCTCCTCAAACACCCTGACAAGGTGGCAGACAACTGAGTCCCTCTACCAGACCTGCGCTGACACCCTCCATGCTCCACCCTACCCACATCCAGTCCCATGCCCCTACCCTGCCTGTGGCCACAGTGAAACTGAGGGGGAGCAAGGTCAGGGAGGGCCTTGGAGTCTCCAAGGAGAATGACCTGTCTGGCCAGGAAAGAAAAGAGTGCAGTGGGGGCAAGAAGGCCAGCTTGGAAGGCTCAGGGTCTCCTGCAGGGAGCCAGCTTGGGGTTCTTGTGTCATGTTGGGGTGGTACTGCAGCACTACCTGGGCCGGGTAGCTCTAGGCATTACTATAGGGCTTGCAGGTATTATTGTAGATTCTGGATACTGAGGTAGGGTTTGGGAGATTGCCATGGAGTTGCCCTGGGGGTTATGGTGGAGTACTGTAAGCTTTATGGTGGGGTTTCTCTGGGACTTCTATAGGGTTAGTCTAAAAGGCCACAAGCCCATGTATCTGCCTGGACCCAGAGAGGAGGAAGCTATGTGTCAAAGAAAGCCAGGCGTGTGGGGAGGACAGAGGTGGCCCAGGTTCCCAGGAGAGGGGGATAATGTGAGGCTGTAGGGCAGCGAGGCCTATCTTGGTATTCAGGTGCCAAACCCTGGTCACCAGCTACATTTGTTGACAGTGAGGGATTGGGAGTGCAAAAGGATCCTTGGTCCCCGGGGCGTGATTGAAGGCCGATACTGTGCATGCCCTGGGCTTTCTGTAGGGAGGAAGGATCTGGGAGAGAGGCCTGGGCAGCAGGATGGTCCTCTTGGTATGTGTCCCCCAAAAACAACCAGGCTCTGAGCCCCTACCTTTATCTTAGGGCCCTGCCCCGGTGTTGCTGAGGCAGAGGAGGATCTGGAGGAAAAAGGTATAGGCCATTCTCTTGTCATCTTCCAGGAGCAACAGACGGTCATCAAGGACCCAGGCAATCAAATAGAGAACTATTCTTGCAGCTTAATCATGGAATACTTCCTGAGAGATGAAAGTGTCGAGCAAGGATTGGGCAGGGAGGTGGGAAAGGAAGGGGTCCCAACAGGAACAGGACGAGGGCCGTGTCAGAGGTGAGCATGGATAAGGGCCAATTCTAGCCCCAGAGACTTGGGGGAGAGAAAGAAGGTTCACTCATTCTTGTATCCATCATTTACTCAGCAAACATTTGCAAAGGCAGCCATGTGTCAGGCACGGCACCAGGAGACACAGAGATGAATTAGAGAGGCAGGGACAGCACCTGGAGAGGCTCCCAGAAACTCAGTTCCTCCCCCAAAACTTACATAGTTCTCCAGGTCCGTACTAGCTAAGCTTCTGCCCTTCTCACCCCACTGCTTCTCCAATCCGAAAGAAGTTCGTTATCCATAACTCTAGCTTCCTTCTTCCCTAGGGACCCAGCCCTGCTCCAGCCCCTGCCCTGCTCCCTGCCACTCAAATATGCCATGCTTTCCCTCTGGGCAGACTTTGGAGCATGTTTCTGGACCACAGCAATGACAGGAGGGATTGGGGCTACACACTCTGAGTACCTACCCTCCCAGCTTCAGGGAGGAGGGGTGTTGAGGAGTGGGAGGCCAAAGAAGAGATGTGTGAGCAGATGAGTCCAGGCCTGAGATCCTCAGCCTGACTTTGCATCACGCTGGGAGAAGCATCATTCATCCACCCAGGGGTAGAGATGGGGCAGGGGGAGGGGAATGAAAACCACCCACAGCCCATTAACCTACTTTTGCAACTTCATTAAAACAGAGTCTCCGACATGTCGCCATAAATTGTCTTCTGAGGAGGAAGCCAGATCCAACGTCCAGTTCTAGCAGTGAAGCCCCTGAGAAGAGGCTGGAATAACCAGGGCGAAAGGGACTGGTATGGGGGTGTGTGTGGGGGGGTGTCACTGAGTAGCTTTGCTGGCTGGACCAATCCGGCTGCCCCACTGCAGGATCTCCTGGATGGACAGCCACTGGGTGAGGGGCAGGGAGGGGATTTTATGTAATAAAATTGTACAGTTGCTCCCTGATCAAGAACCCTCATAGCTTCCTGGAGTCCCTCATAACACACCTAAAATATACTCTCAAAGCTTCCTTCAAAAAGCCCTGTCCTGCCCCGAAGTCCCCTACGCTAAGGTGTGCCCTGAGCGCTATGCCTCATGGCCCCAAGTACAGCAGACCCAGGCAGCCTCCAGACAGACAGGCTGGACAGGCAGCCTGAGCCAGGGGAAGGGGCACTGGCCCAGGGGTCAGTGGGGCAGGGCACCCACTCCCCAGCTGGATGACCTGGATCTCGTCCTCATTTGAGAAGTGACTGAGTGCCCAGACCCTGGAGAGGGACTGCCAGGGTTCAAATTCCATCTTTGTCACTGAAGGACCTCAGCCAAGTTATTCAACTTCTCTGTGCCTTAGGGTTCTCATGGGAATAATGATACCTCATAAAGTTATTCAGTCTTAAATGGGATGACCCATGGAAAATGCATAGCACTTAGGACCTGGCACGTCCTAGGGGTCAACAAACATGGGCTATTGTCGTCATTATTTATCTAGGGTTTCAAGGCCTGAAAAGGACCATGGAGTTCATGGAATCTGATCATCTAGTTTTACAGATAAGGAAACTAAGGCCCAGAGAGGAGAAATGACTTGGGTCTGGGTCAGAATCAGAGCCCAGATTTCCTTTCATCCAACCCAAGGATCTCTTCTCCAACATGTCCCCTCTGGGCCTCAGTTTCTTCACTTGTACAGTGAAGGGATTAGAATAGATATGTGGTTTCCTTCACCACTGCCACCACCTTTATTATCGTCATCACCATCATCATCATCACCATCATCGCCTTAGAACAGCTTTTCAAACCAATCTTATTCAGGTTCCTAACACACTGTAGACTAGGTCTGGAGAAAACAGAGCGAGGGCAGGCGGTGGTCGGGAACCTGAGCCACAGTCCCTCCTTCTGCCCCGAGCAGCAACCCCAGAGGCCCACCAAAGAAACTGGGGGTGTCACAGATCCCAGGTCAAGTTCCTGGCCAGGATGATCCCAGGGCTTCAGCCACGGGTACTCTAGGAGGCTGGTGCCCCCACAAAGAGCAAGAACTCTCCAAAACCACACTGGGCGAGGAGACCTGAAGAGAGACTTTCTGGGGCTGGGGTTGTTTCCACCCCTCTCTGCACAGAAAAGGCGGGTGGTGTAGGAGGAATGCAGCAGTGGACCAGAGGGTCTCTGTTTAGAGCGGCTTGTCTGCCTGCCCAGGTATACACCACCCTGAATGCCTCCACCCTCTGCACACTTCCCAGCTCTGAACCACCCACACTCCTGCCATAGCTGCAGCCCAAAAAAACATGGCCATAAAACAGACATTTGCTTTAATTTTCACTTGAAGGGGCAATTTAGCACAGGCTGTTTGCAAGCTGTTGGAGCTCTTTATGAGGCTGTATCATGTTTTCCCAAAATGCTTCCCACAAGCGGATTCCCGGGGTCAAAGTTCATACATAACTACGGGGAAAGAGGGTTGGAGAGAGCATGGGAGATTGTGCAGAGTGAAGAGTATATATTTTTCAATCAGATCAAGAGTGGCTGGGAAACTAAGAGCAAGAAAAAGCCAGGACAGGACAGCTCCTGGTCAGAGGCAAGTGCTGTGTGATTTTGCCCAACCCTCCTCCCTCTCTGGGCCTCCCACAAGCAGAGGCCAGTCCTAGTCATAAAAATGAAACATTGTGACTTAGTCCCAGCCTCTGGGGCCCTCACACACTTATTCACAATGATCCCAATACTTACATTTATAACCAAACCAATTTTGCAGAGTCCTGACTGAGATTTTCTGCTCTTGGCTCTAATTCTCACTTCCAGCAACTCTGGCCCCCTACCAACTGCTGACCCTTCTCGGTCCTCAATTTCCCCCTCTTGACCCCCTTGCTTCTTTTCTAGGGTCCTTCTTTCCTAGGAGAAAGTGCTAGGTTTTACTAGATCCTCTGAGCTACTCCAAGGAGGGGAAAAGTCACCAATCCGCTTCCTTCCAAAGCTGGGCTTGGTTCCTCTCCCTTGATTTTCCCACAGTCTGTCCCCTTTTCCCTCAAGAGCCCTGGGCTGAGAGGCATCGGGAGGATAAACCTTCCATATTGTAAACAGAGCAGCTGCTCCCCAGCCTAGATGCACGGTGGTCCTTGGAGATCTCAGAGCTGGAAGAGGCTGGAAGGCGGACGGACTCTGAGATCCCCTGAACATACTCCAGGTCCCCTTCAGCTCCCTGCAAAGTTTCCTGCTTTTAAGGTCTTCTGGAGGCTGGGGCTCAGGGGTTTCAAGGTACACTCTAGGGCCTCCATCCAACGCTCTCCCAGGGGTGATGTGGGAAGCAAAGGGGAGCCAGAGGCCATAATGTAGGACAGGGATCTCCCCTCGCTGAAGACCCTTCCCCTTCCTCATGCTTCTGAGGAATTTTCCTGGCCTCTGTGGACAATTCCAGCCTCAGTATTCCCAGGGAAGTGTGATGAGGCAAGGGGGTCATGTCTCCGGCTGGGAGAGATCCCAGAGGTCAGGGTCAGATGGGGGACAGCATATCCCAGAGGCAGGAGAGTTGGGACTATGGGAACCTGGAGTGGTGGGAAATCCTGTGATTCCCGTGGAACAGCATTTGCACAGGAACTAACTGGAAACTGGCTGGGGCATTCTGCAGCCCAGACCCTCTCAACAGGCTGCAGATCAGGAACTCCACGAAAGCCTGATGCCACCCCCCTGGGCTGATTGGAGAAGAGGTGAGGATGGGTTCTTCCGGGCAATAATCAAGGAGAAAAGAAACAGAGCAGAGCCCACACAAAGAGACAGGAGAAAGGAAGGGGGCCCGGGCACAGCTCCCCAAATAACTGAGTCCCTATATGGACTATGTGCAGGAATTAAGCTTCCACCTACTGAATTTTCTCTAGTGCCCCAAAGGAGGGTGCAACGTTAATCCTAGTTTCCATATAAATAAACGGAGGATGCAAGAGGAAAAGGAAGTGGTCCACGATCACATGGACCTGACGCCAATCTCCCTAAGGAAACTCTCTGGACCCTCGAGTTTAATTGCCATTGACCTCATTACCATCTCCAGCCTCCTCACAATCTATGGTGAAAGGGGCTGTCTGTGCACCTGTGTCCATCCTCACCACCACAAAAACACAGAATCTTAGAGTAGAGACATCTACCCTCCTCATGGTGCCATTGGGAAACTGATGCCCAGAGAAGGTAAGCCGCTTGCTCAGGCAGGGTCACACAGCCAGGAAGAGCCAGAGCAGGGACTTGATCCAGTTCAGATGGATGCTGTATCTGGGAGCCAGGCTCTCAGCTGTTTACACATACAGATGCCAGGTGCTATATTGGCACCAGGGAAATAAAGATAAATATAAATATAGGCCCTGCCTTGAGAGGCTTGAAAATGAGGAGAAAGGGTCCTCCCACCCCAACAGGTAGAAAGACTTAGGCTCCAAATGTCAAGGACCAAGCCAAGGAAAAAGTTACTGTAAGCCAAGGCAATCAAATAGGCCTCCTGAGGGAGGAGAGCATAACCCAGTAGAGACTGAGTGGGAAGACGGCATGTCCCCTGGTGACCCAAGCAGGAGGAGGACATGTAAGTGCCTGTGACCCATCTTCTTGAGGAAGGTACTCCTGTTGGAGGATTATGGGAGACCAGGCTGGAAACTCAGGCTGAGACCAGATCAGATCCCCTTGAATGCTAGGCTAGGAAGTCCGAGCCTCACCCAAGGGCACCAGGGAGTCATGGACGGTTTTCATCTGGGGTAGGAGGGGGACCCATGCAAAGAGGTATGTATTAGGAAATTTGCCCTGGAAGTAGCTCACAGGGCAGACCCCTTGGGAGGAAACCTGAGTCAGCCAGCATGTCAATTTGAGTATCAGTGTGCTGTCTCTAGGGTCGAGTGTGTGTATTATGCATAGTGTGTGTGTGTGTGTGTGTGTGTGTGTGTGTGTGTGTGTGTGTCTATGCACACATAAGCATGATGTTAAGATCAGGAGAGCCTGGTTTCACAAAACCACCCTGGTCTTCCTGGGGAGGGGGAGGGAAGATGATGGATAGCCAGATCCCCGCCCCTTCTGTCTCCCTCTCATAACCACCCAGAACGGGCAAGAGTGTTGCCACTCCCCGCAAACATTCTGCAGGCCTGCACCCCGGAGGGCACATGAAAAAACCCTCCTAGAAGGAGAGACACACACGTACCCAGAACGAGCATCTCCTCACCTGACACTTCCCCCAAATCTCATGCTGGTGGTGAAGGACACCCAGGGTGCTATGAAAGGGCAGGGTGGGGGTGGGGGTGGGGGTGGCCTGCGGCTGACCATCCAGCAGCCCAGGAGCTCAGACAGGCAGTGACTAGTGGGTCGGTGGGAGATAGGGGGCGCTGTTGTGAAGACGGTTCAACCAGCTGAGACCCATGTAAACGTGGAAAGGAGGAGAAAATGCCCCGGGATAGACAGAAGTAAACATGGGGAACCATTCAGAAGAGGGGTCACTGGGAGGCTTGAGGGGCCCACCTGCCCCTTGCCTCTTACCCTCCTCAGTATAAGCACAGACTGAAGTAATGCGGAGACCTGCCTTACTGAGACAGCTGGGTTTTTTTGTCCTCCTTTGGGACCTAGAGGACAAAGGGGCTCAGGCCACCCCTTCCCCCTCTTCCCTCAGCTGAGCAACCCCCAAATATGGGAGCACCGAGACTAATGAAACCTGGAGGGGCTGTCATAACTGTGACCTGCAGTATGAATAGTGATTAGGAATTATCTCAGCCACACCATCATATAGCCATTGCCCCAGGGAAAGGGGGCTGACAGCCAGGATTCCTGGGGCTAGTCACCAGCTCTCTGCTCACCTTGCCCTGGTTTCCCTTCTTAAAACCCATGGAGAATCTTAATTTGGGGAGTCATAGGATCTTGGAGTCAGAACAAATAATGTAGAGGTCCCATTCCCATCACCATCTCTTTGCCCAGGTCCAGCCTGGGCACTCACACCCCCCAGGCATCCAATGCACTGGTGAATTATTGAATGCACATGTCTTCCCCCAAGACCTTGATGCCCATGTGGAGAAGTCTGGAGGAGTTCTGCCATCTTTACAATCCTGAGATCTTTCCTGTCCCTCCCCA